TTCTATTTGGTACACATTCTGACATTCTATATGGTATATATTGTGGCAGTCTAGCTGGCATATATTCTGGCATCCTTTATGGCAAAGCATTTTCTGGCGTTCTATCTAGCAAAATTGCTGCCATTTTTCTGATATTATTTCTATCTGGTTCAGGTCCCGTGGTGCCCATTGCGTTCGCGGTTGAGGTTCGCTGTTGCATACTGCGATCTATCGCGCTTGCGGTTGAAGTCCGGCGGTGCCCACTGTGATTTAGCGCTCGTGGTTGATGCCACGCGGTGCGCTCTGCGATCTAGCGCTCGCAGTTGAAACCCGGCATGTGCAGAAGAGGGCAGCTTTGATAAAATCTCACAACCCTCACCTGGCATGCAGGTGGGGAACACATCCAAAGCAAGTTTCTCCCATGCACCATCGGCCTAGCTCTCCTACTGTGAGCGATGTTTTGTTCGGTGGACCACCCAAGGTGTGTCGCGGGCTGCGTCCGGCGATGAAGCCCATCAGTACAGACGACGGGACCCATGAGGTCCGAGAGGCCGGTGAACTGCGGCTTTGGGATTTGGGGGGCCGACCCCCTTAAAGATGGTGAGGGACGGTGAAGGTTGGGAAGGAAGATGGATGGAGAGTGGGTACAAAAGAATGGTGGGTATGGTACAATTAACTGGGTGCATGAACGGTAGAAAAAAATTAGGGGAACTGCCTAGATGTCTCAGTGGTAGTCTTTAGATGTCTTTGATGCACGAGAGCCAGTTGTTTTGACATATAGGTCTACAATTTGATTTGCATCGCTTGCAATACCCTTTGGATTTGTTTGGCATCCAGGTTGGGTATACGTATGCCTCGTTGGATTGTTTTGACTTGAGGGTTCACTCCTGCACAAAGCAGGAGAACATTTGAGGGTCATTTTGTTCCAAGGTGGCGAAGGAAGTGGGACAAGGGTTACAAGGAAACTGCACTATGATTGTGTTCATTGCCAATCATCAATCCTAGCTACTAGCTTGTGGGTGGTGATTGACCACCCACAATTCCAATTCCAAGAGTTTGTTTGCTGTTGCCTTTGGGGGCAAGAGGACTCCACCCTGGGAAAGTTGAATCAAGTTTCTACGAAACCAACCATCCCAAAAAGTTTTGGAGAACCAAATGCTGCGTTTGGATCACCTCCGGAACCGAACTCGCCAGGAGCTCAAGCTCTTGATGCAGCGAGCGTGGAGCAATGAACCTGAAGACCGTCCTGATTTTCAGGAGCTCCACAATATATTCTCCACATGTCTCGCATTTCTTCACTCTTCTCACATATTATCCAATAGATTCATATATATATATACTGTATACATACAAAATATATTCCAAATCGCCTGCATCAGCTTTGCTTCCTTCTTGGCTGAATGGTTCCCCAAAAGATGATGGCCATGCGGTTGCATGAACATGCTCCCACCTCAAGATTGAACTTGACTGAGTGTGCCACAGCGCTTTCATTCGTGTCACGACAGCATCACCGCCAAACCAAGAATATATAGTTTCCTTTCATATTGGGAGATTCTCAATTGAATGATTCTTTTTAGCTGTGGACACACATGGAACGATGGAACGCTCATCTTCGCTTTTGCTCCACGCATTCATGGACCATATGTAGACCTCCAAATTCTTGGTTTTGTGTGCGCAGATCGTTTTGTCCCAGGAGTTGGAAGACAATCTGAGTCGCCTTTGGCAAGCCTTGGACAGCCCGACATCAGCCCCGTGAGTCCGACCGGATGAAACTAGGACACATCGAACCGAATGGCAGTGGGTATGGATCTTATATGAGCTCACCTATCATGCCCCAGGCATAGCTTGTGTTTCTTTCTTGCCTCTCCCTCTGTATAAATATTTACAAATATACACATTCAGTAGTTACCTGTGCGTAATCAGATATATGTGCACTCTTGCACCAGGAATTTGACCGTGACTGCTTTATGGAGAAGACGGTCGCAACATTATTTTTCAAGATACAGAAGCAAAGGCTCATTTGATTCATTTGTGTGTAGATGAGTAGGGAAGGAAGCATGCTGGGAGGCGCTGTGCAGAATTGTGTTGGGAAACTTATTATGCCTGCATCGAGAAAAAACAACAGTTTTCAGATATTTGTGAATCTCAAGATCCGGAGCTTCAGTTCCTGCATGTACAGCGTCAAAAACTGCTTGGGAACGGTCGCGAGTCATCCACCAAAGCTCAGTATTCTGGTCCCTTTTGGTCCGATTCAGCACACTGCCCAGCATGCCAAGTTCAAGTCTACTGGTTGACTTGTCTTTTTTTGGTGGGATCTACACTGGACATTTTGGGGGGTCAAAGCCTTTGATTGGAGCTGCTTCGGGCTGCCTGCTTTGCTTCAGCAGTTCCCCGGTGCAAGCGCCGTAACGGCGGTGCACGGGGGGAGGGCAGGGTGCGAGTTGTGTCCGGGTCTGGCGGTGCAAGCATGCAGAGAAGCTATGAGCAATTGTAATACTGTATGCGATTCTAAATGATTCTAAATCATAGTTATATATATCTAATATATTATAGGGCTGGTTGTTTTTTCCATATGCGGAGATATGGACAGGGGTGCTTTCGATCAAGGGTGCTTTTTCTATGCTCTAGGTGCCTTTTCCGATGCTGCTGGTGCTTTTTCGTAGCCTCGTAGTGCTTTTTCTTATACTGAGAGTTCTTACTTGTATGCGCATGGTTGCTTTCCTTATGCAGACGGTTCCTTTTTGTATGCTGGGAGGTGTCGCCCGGGTGCCGACGGTGGCCGTCGAACAGAATCCTGCTGCAAGGGGACCCGTCAAACAGAATCCCTGGCAAACAGAATCTCTGGCTAAAGAGGCGTCCGTCAAACAGAATCAGACCGATGGTGCCTTTTTGTATGCTGGGAGGTGTCGGGCGACGTGTTGGCCGAGGTGTCAACGGTGCCGTCAGACAGAAGCCTTTAACTGCTCGTGCAACAGAAGCTTTGGCTGTAGAGGCGTGTGTCAAACGGAATCCTTGGCTATAGAGGCCAAATGCCGACGGTTCTTTTTTGTATGCTGTGACGTGAGGTCTCCGGCGAGGTGTCGACGGTGGCCGCCAAGCTTGAATCCTTCTGCAGGAGGGCACGTCAAACAGAATCCTGGGCCATGGAGGCTTGCGCCAAAAAGCATCATGCCGACGGTTCTTTTTTGTATGCTGGGAGGTCTCAGGCGAGGTGTCGACGGTGGCCGCCAAGCAAAATGCTGCCAACTACAGCAGTTTCGTGTCTTTAGCTGAAATACAGGTGTTGTAGCTGGCCAAATACATTGGAATAGTGCAGGTTTAATATTTGCTGGCTGATTAGACTAATTTGGGAGCTCTCGTAGCTGGCATATTATGAGCTACTGGCGTGTGGACCATTCTTGATGCACGTCGATACAAGGAAAGGTATCTTGACATCGCGGCAAAACAATCCATGCATCTCACTGACTAGGTTTTCACCAGGTAGATCAGCATCCTCTGGTCGATTTTCCATTGGGTTGTCTATTGACAAGACAAATCTTTGCCGACCCAGCCGTTCTCCCTTTCCCCGCCTCGATTGCTGCAGCACTGGGCAGCTGCGCAGCTGGCTTGAGCAGGATGTTTCCCTAGCCATTCGACCGGGGCAAAACATTCTCCGTACGATTCTAAAGGGGGTCGAAAAGGTGTGTGATCTTTAGGGTTGAAAGTGAGACGAATCCCATCGAATCCCCCAAAATTGCCTAGAATGGGTGGACAGTGGGCATGCGTTTTCGAAAGCTAGGGGCCACCCTGTCCATCATTGATTTATCAAGACGTCTTGGCAGGAATACAATTGATGTTTACCAGGGTCCCTGATTTGACCTTTTTTTCCTGATCCATGGCAAAATAAAAGATGATCTTTAAAGAGGCAGATGGTGTTGAGTATAGGAAGGCCTGTGTTGGTGTTTCTGCCAAGTCTCATTTTCGCTGCCTCCTTGATCGTTTCCTGCCGGACCCCAGCTGTTGGAGGTTTTCCGCCGGGAGACCCCGTTTGGCTGGGCTGCCAGTCCCAAGTTTGAGCGAAGAGGTCTAGCACTGGAGGGTTTTCCTGTTCGACATTTGTTGGGCTCGGTTTCTTAGTTGCATGTTTCAGATAACATCATGGGTTCCTCTAACTGAATGATGTTGGAAGAGCTTGGTAGCGAGTTTGCGAACAGATTTGTTCAGATTGTGACCCTGAAATCCACTTCAGCAATGCAAAACTTGGAAAGATGTGGCCACTAAGTGGGACTTATCTGCGTGATTCAGAAATGGCAGGTGAGAACTTGTTGATCGAGAAAAAATGAATCCGAGGGATGGGTGTTGGTGTGATTCCATAGCGAGAAACTCTATAAGAAATACATTTCGTGCATCCGATGCAACTGTTTGACCAACCTATTGATGTTTTAAACTATCTACTCGTTCATGGTTTGGACATGTGAAAGCCAAACAAAGCTCGAGAGGGATGAGTGGTTGAAGACAATCCTCAAGCATTCAATCATGCCTGAAACAAAAAATAACGGGACCTGGTGGCTTACCACGGTGCAAGGAACGCAACAGAGGTGGGACTTGTATTGATTCTATAGAAGAAACAGGCCAACAGATACGGCGGCCGCTTTTGAGTGGTGATGGTAGACATTTGTTCACATGAACATAATGAACATAGCGCAGTCGGAGGCTGTGTAACTAGCTAGGCAGTGGCCACCCCGCTGGGCTCACTAGCTTGGCTCCTAGGTTCCGGCCGAAAATCAAGCCGTTAATGCCCATGTTTCATGACCTCAAAACAGAGGCTGCAAAGACACATTCATGCCGCATTCGTTCTTTCTGAACTTTGTGCCATCATTTTTGCAGGCGAAGCAGCCAACACTGTAAAGTTTCTGTTGACTTGTCGGCGGTCCTTGACTTTCAGCGACCTTATTATTGCTGCATTATGTTTGCTCATTTTATGCGAACAACAGGGGAGGGTGACCAGAAGACTGCCTAAGCCACCTAAGCTACCTGAAGCCTGAAGACCGTTGTCTGAAGTTCCCATGTCGGCCATGGCGAGTGTGGCCACCGTGCCTGTCTCGTTCGGCACACAGCAGCCGGATGGGAGCACCTTCTATGGAAGCTTTGAGGTTGGATGATGGCCATCCTTCGGACGCGAGTGACCTTTTGAATCCTAAACCCAAGAAGCTGGGTGCTGTTGCCCCCACACAACCGACCCAAGGCAAATAGGCAACAAAGACGAATCCCGGTATGACCGTGGTGTGCGTCTCGTTCCTTTTGATCCATTCTTTCCACTCTCCTGACCCGTGGCATGGCATGGCGAAGATGAGGACCAATCCGAAGACCAAACCGGTGGTGAATTCAGAAACAGTTCATTTTTTAAAAGGCCCACGAAAGCACCGGTTTGGACACCACCAAGATTAGGGTTAGTGAAAAGGATTGGACTCCAGCAAACCCATAATGAGTCCAGGCGAGTCAGATGGATTGGGTCTGTCCAGACGGGCCCGTTGAGACGTTGTTCAGGTGTCCAGGTATCAGGTGGAACCGCAACGAGTGATGAAGAAGAAGCACAAACAAAGCAACAGCTCTTCAGCGCCAGTCATGGGACTTGAGACATGGCTGGCGGACACATACAACGCAGCCATTCTAAACCAGGCTCCCTGATGGAAGAAAGCACAAGATGGATCAGACATGGAAGAAACTGAAACTGGTGAATGAACAGGGCATCCAGTTACCACTATGACTATAGCTGGCAACCAGTGGTTCCAGTTCGACTAAGACCATAGACTGCCATAGACCAAACGAATTCCTGGTTCCTTATATAGTGCTTTGCCTGGGTCCACTGGGTACAGGAAGACAACACGCTTTCTTGCACCTTTTTCGGAGCTCACCAGCTGCGCAGCCTCCAACCTCCACATTCGGTGCAAGACTCTAAGACCTTGCGTGCCACAGAGACATGCACAACTTTATTTGATAACAGAAACATGCAGTTGTGCCGAAAGGCCCCAGGTGGGTCGCTATGGGGATTTCTTGACCTCAAAGTGGAGCGTGGAAGTCCGGGTGGCACTGCAAAATCTTCCGCCACAGGCACAGACCACCTACCCCAGTCGGGGTAGCTTCATGCCTCCTTCACCGCCGCCTCCAGCCCCCCGCGCCCTCTCACGTCCTCGTGTGAGTGGAGTGCAGTCGCCATTGCCTCCCTTGGTGCAGCCCAAAGGTGTCTTGGATGCGGTGATTGAACAGGAAGTTTGTGCAGAATCATCACCGGTGTGACTGTCGGATTGATTGAACTGGTTGTACTTCCCCAGGCAGCCAGCGATGTCTAGAGGACAGATTCAAGCGAACCCTGCAGGTGGTGCCAGCCAGCTGTAAATGTTGGCTGAACAGGATGAGCTGTTCTTTTGATATTGTCTCTTGTGTTTGTGTGGTTGAACTGGCCTGACGTTCGCGCTTCTGAGCTTCTTGAAGTGGAATCCGAGCGCTGACGCTGACGCCGGGGCGATAAGCGTGCAACACTGGTCAAGTTCTTCATCCTGCTTTATCCTCCTAGATCCTGCTTTCTGACAAGCTGGCCTTAAAGATATGTTTTTGTCATTGTAGTAGAAACTTGCTTGCAGCTTGGTGTCACCCATATCTTTGGTAGTCAGTGAGCTTCCCTCGCTTGGTGGGACTTCCCCAGTCCAAGTTTCACGGATTGATGGCCCCACTCAGTCCCTACCTCCCCCACCTCCCCACCTCAGTTCCTCCACAGTTTTCGAGCCTCCAAGTGGAACAGAGGATAACGTCTCCGAGATGTCCAATTCATTGTTTCAGCAGATCCTTCTTCTAAGGTGATGTGGCCCCCATGCTGCCTGAGCGCAGCCCCTGTGGCCCGATGAAGTCCTTGGATCCTCCCGGCCTCATCGCAGCAGGCGCGGAGGAGCCAACAATCCCAGACACTCCATGGGACTGCCATATATGCCGATCAGTTGGGGTGGTTCGAGGGGTCAATGGGGCGGCATTTATGGCAGTCCCATGGAGGGTCTGGGAAGCATCATGTCAGGCGGTGGAGATCAACTTCGATGCCGAAAGGAATCAGATCTCTCACGAGACTTCCTAAGTCAGTGGCAAAACTGAGCAATCTCTGGCACGTTCATCCTGGCACTGAGAAGTGAAAGTTGTTTTTTTTAATCCCGGTCCTGTTTCTGGTGCTCCCCACGTCCCTATCCTGGCACTTCGATCTCGCCCCAGGCATTCCGTGGCTGGACTCTTTAAGTCCTTGGCAGCCGACCCGACCACCTTCGCCGATGCCGGTGGCACGCGCAAGGTGAGGTCGTTGTTCATCGTAAGAGTCACAGAAGAATTCCAGGGTGGACCTGAACCTGAAGCTGCTGGGCTTGTTCCACCTCACGACGAAAAACTGGAGACTGTCTGCCAGGAGTGTCTCGCCCTGTCCCAGCCCCATCCATCGGGTGGTGCGTACGACGCGGCACGCCGCACCATGCGCCTCTTGCTGCCGCGCGCCAGTGCCGATCCTGCCCAGCACTGCCCGGAGAAAGCGGGGGGAGCAGTGGCTGTGAGTGTAGAGAAGCCCTCAACTCCAGCAGATCCAATGGATGGAATGGGGATTTGGGAGGATGGAATGGGGATATTGATGATATTGACTTCCACAAGACATGTTTCGGTTCGTGCTTCGATGGAGTGCATCCGCAAGGTCAGGTCGTTCTCTTTGCTTGTTCTTTCAAACCTAATACAACATGTTCAATGTTCCATTGAGGCTTGAGGAATTGAGACTCATCGAAGCGAGCGAAAGGACTGGGGTCAAACATCATGGACTCCATAAGTGATCCAAAGGCCCAATCAGTCGCACCCTATGGCGCTAAGCTGCCAGGAAGTATATCTCATGTGTGAAGGATCGCTCCCTACGATTCTTGCCCGAGCAAAGAGGGGAAAACCCCCCCAGTCATTTGGAGTCTTTGGTCGCTGGACACTGAGCAATATCAATGAAGAACACCTTCGTATTTCAGAAGCAGCCAGGCAGACAGAACTGGAGCGAAGTTCCCATGCGATGAAGGGATGGGTAAACACTCAGTGCTCGGCATTGGCACCAGGCAGACACCTGGCTGGGAATGCCCTCCAAGCAATCCTGAAACGAATTCAATAGCTCCCCCCAGAGCTCCAGAGCTCCATCAACCCAGCTTCGACCCCTTCGACTCAGCCAGACACCCTGCAGGAGTATCACGCGCATGGTCACGACTCCCAGCCAACCTCCGGTCCGGAGTTACAGCAGCCTGGCTGAATTCAGCCGTTGGTAAGAGACCTTCAGGGGCAATCAGGGCATGAGATGTTGGGACTCTGGAAAGCTAGGCTATGCCATGCTATGTAGCTGTGCTGTCATTAGTTATTAGATGTTATTAGTTAAGAGTTCATGAATAATGACTCAATATGACTGGAAAATGACAACATATAAACATCCGTAAATACTAATCCGTGAAGGAGCACATTTGCTTACAATGAAGAATCCACAACTTGACGAGATATTCCATTTGCCAATGGAAAACAAAGGGCAAAAAGCACACGTTGATGAATGATTGTCCCTATACGTCACTTCAAAAGCACTGGCATAGGGACAATCGAGTTGAGAATCGACGATGAATCGACAAAGCAAACTGTATGGTGGGTCTTGGAGAGAAACGAAAGGGCTTTCGAGATAACCAAAGCAAACCAGGTCGGGCCATCCAAAAAAAGGGAAGGATAGCTGCACTGCACTGCCCCAGGGGCAAAACCCAAGAAATGAAAAAAACTGAGGGTCAACCAGACATCCATCGTTCTCTCCCGGGAGGCCGATCTCCATCCCCGACGACGCGCTTGCCTTCGCCGGACCTGCGGGGCGCTCACCGCGCTGTGGACGCGCCGCTGCCGCCCGCCTCGGCGAGGAGGGCCTCGCCGCGGTACCCGCCCGCGCTTGGAGTGTTGTCTGGGCGAAGGAGTAGATGAAACAAGAAACTATGGGGCAGAAAGCATTTGGTGGTGAAAAAGGGCGGAAGTAGATCAATTGGATAGATGACGAATGACAGATGTGTGATGTTCTCCGCAATGATCTTGGAATGAATGAAGTGAAAGGATGTCAGAACTTTGGAGATTGGCTTCATAAACTCCATCTCTTTGGAGACGCTGAGAAAGTTTTTGTGCAAGGGCAAGAAGAAACTCTTGTGTGGTGTTATATGGCAGACTGGTGCTTAGCAGGGAATGAGGGAATGGATCCAAAGGAATCTCTATTGGGGGCTCCTTCCCTTATTGCCCACGAGTCGCACCAGTCAGATGGTGTTATGCATGGTCAAACTAGAGACGTAGGAATGATGTGAGCCGTGGGAGGAGACGTAGGAAGTTGAAGACGGCATCTCACAGCGAAGCCACTTCACACGGTTTTTTGCCCGGCCATTGCCATTGAGACAGACACGTCTGGGGTTAGATTGCAAATCAATAGGCTTTCGAGCTGGTCACAAGCTGTGATGTTGTTGAACAGTTGAACGCTTTGGAGCATGGAGTCCAGTTGATTGGTATACAGTGTAATTGCAGTGAAAGTGTTCTATCCTATGCGCTGCTGGTCTGGATTCTTGAGGCATTGTCCTTGCCTGACATTCATACACATCAACGACATGTTTCGTTGCACGTCATTGCTCAAGTATCTCAACGTAAACCAATTGTACCCAACACAAAACAAGCAAACAATCACGCTAACAAACAACGTGAAAACAATATAAACAAATGAAGATTGACAAAAAGGAAAGAACGGGGAAGACACTTTTGTTTGCTCAGTTGGACTACGGTCGGCCTCTTGTTGGAGCTTTTGCAGGGCTCCTGTTCTCTTTTCTTGGAACAAAGGGAATAATGACCTGACAAGAAAATCAGAAATCACTATATATATATATATTTGTTAGAAAAAGCGATCTGTTTGTTTTTGTTGTCCACAAAGAGTCCTCAGATCTTAGAATTAGCGCAGCAATTGGATTGAACTTCTATGACTGCTCCTGTGTTCAATCAGAGGACATCCTCATCCTCACCCACCGGGTGGATCCACTGCCTAGACTTTGGTGCCGAGGTAGAGGCAAAGGTTGATGGCTTGGAAGAGATCAGGCGGAGAGGGAAAGGACGATGGGGGAGCCTTTTGGCAGCCAGCAGTTGGAACAGGAGTTTGACACCCCAACTGGGACGAATCTGAAAACCCAGTGGATGATCATGTTGCTTGGGCGGGGGTGGGATGTTCAAGCGAGAGATCCGGCATGAGGAATTTTGGCGGATACGGGAGGACAGAAGGTATCAAGGTGCTGTGAGGGAATAGGTGCTTTGGGGATAGATACAGCGGAGTTCCATATTTGACTTGACAGGTTGGTTTGACAAGGATCTTGCAACGAAAGAGAACTCAATACATTGTATATAATAACAGTAATAGGGGTTAAGATGTCAAACATCCACCTACAAAAGTCATGCAGATCTTGAATTGAGTTGGCCTATCTTGACAGCTATCAAGCATCGCAAGAAGAGTGGACGAAAACTGAGACTTTTGATGTTCTCAACACACACCTACATGGTTTATATGATTTGATTTCAACTCCCGGAGAGCAACACCGAGGGAAGGACAGAATGTTTCGCTGTCCAACTCTGTCCCGCAGGCGTTGGGAGGCTCGATTAGGAGCTGGCCCTGAGCACAGGGGCAGGACTCCCCAGGACATCTTTACTGCGGAACGGGCGGTGTGGGTCGGTTGGTTTCTTATGTGGCGCCTTGTTTTAAAAGGAGGACCTCCCTAGCCTGATGGATTTGGTGATTGATTCTCCCGGTCGAACTCATAAGTCGATGATCCCGTCTCACAGCGTCTCGGGCACCCAAAGGTGCTTCAGTTTCGCTCCCTCGTCCAAGGTCAGCATCGAACGCCACCCAGGTGGACGGTAAATTCGCGGAGAATGGGTAGAGCCTAGAGCTCATGAAACGATGTAGTAGCCTCATGGCAGAAAAAACCATGTAGTAGAACCAACAATTCAACCTATATAGTTTGAGACGGATTTGGCCATAGATGTGTTAAACAGTATAGTCTTATGGCTTGAGCATGTGCATTTCCCTCCTGCAAACAGTACAAGTACTTTAGATGCCTGAGGATCTCAGCAGGAGCTGAATTCGGGTTGTTCGTGACGCCTTGGGGGTTGGATACTTTGGGGAGCGTCTCTGAGGGCGGGTTGGAGATAGTTCGAGGGCATGAGCCTCCCAAACAATGGAACAAACTGGAAATTTGAATGATTCAGGGTGGGCCTAGCAGTTGAAGATGACCTGGACCGGTCCCTGGTCCCCTAATATCTGCCTCATGAGCTCTGAGGTCATTTCCGGATGATGTCGGATGAACTTGCCTGGTGGGCGTTCGGGCCACCATGCGGCAGTGAAAGAAGGACGTTCCAGCCAAGGTGGATGATCTGGTGTTGGTGATCGGGTTGGATTCTTTTCTCTTCCGAAAAGGGTGAAGCCCCTTCTGAAGAGAGGGCCCACCCCCTTCCAACAAACATGGAAGTGGACCATCCCCTGGTTTGTGCAGGAAAAGGATCCACTTCCAGGCGTTTGGTTTCAGTGGATGGTGCCTTTTCCCTGTTCCTGGGAGCCCCGAGTCCGGTCGAGACCCAGGTAGTTCGGACACCAGCACGGACGCGACCTCCAGTGTGTCCACGGCTCAGCCTCTGTCAACACCGACGTCAGGGACTCTTGGTGTAGTGACCTGGGCGTCTCGAAGTACCTCAGGATCAAGTAATACTCGTTTCATGGATGGCATTTACCAAACAGGTGGTGTTCACTCACGAAACACGAAGCCATGCTGATTCCAAGGAGTGTAGCTCTTATGGTGTAACCTCCAACCACTAACTGACTTGATCATTTTGATCGAGTCTCTACAACGCCATAGCTGTGAGGGCCTCTATCAAATTTTAAGTTTTAAGGGTACTGCCTGTCGTCCAAAAGAAGAAGCAGTTTATCCGGATGAGCAAAATAACATCCTAGCAACAAATGGAGAGCCGCTGATCTACAAACAGGAAAATCAGACAGGGCTCAGTTCAGGCTCACTGGCGGGCTCACTGGCTGGCGGGCAGGTCTTTGCCGACAAACGGAAACGTAGCAACAAACATCCAGCAGTACATCCAGCAGTACAGACGCTATGCATCGCGTCTGGGTAACCAGACGTCGAGTTACCAGACGCGAACGCTTGGAGTTCTTGCCGGCACGAGCCAATCCGCGCCGAGCCAATCCGCACCGCACCGAGCCGATGTTGGGGGAAATCACATGGTAGGAGGTTCAGCTAGTCATCCGGATGAGTCATCCTGGAGTCATCTGGGAGTTATCGAATGAGTTCTAGATAGTATACATCCGTATACGGTCCGTATACCATGCAGATGCAACATGTCCAGTCAGTCGCATAATAGGACTTTAACTCGGAAGAGGCTAGTTTGCAGCCGATAGGAAAACGATGGAAAACGCAGTCTGAAACAGCAAGTGGCCAACTTATGCACAGTCGTTCTTTTTCTTGAACGTTCCATGGGCACCATGTTCTTTTCTTTTTGACGCTAGTTGGAAAAGCCTATGCATGCTTTGTTTTTGATCTCGTTGGAATTCCGCAGGAGTTCGGTGGAGGGCATAGCGTCCAAACCGCAAGCACAAAATCAGATGCATCAATAATTGATCTCGTGGAGAAACGTGCGTATGCCGAAGCACAAGTTCCTTGTTCATTTTGAGCAGAATACTACATGGGCTCAGGCCAAAATCCTGACAGAATATCCATATCCAAAACGCTTTTCCCTGCACAGACAGCTTAAAGCCTTGGTGTGCTACTGGGGTAGAGTCTTTGAATGATCCGTAATTCATTGAGGATTTGCTTGCAAACACCACAATAATCTTGGTGAGTCAAGATTGCCCTTAGGGGGGATATTTGTATAGCACTTTGTATGATACTACATTATGTTACACGTCTTATCTCACAGGTTCACTCCAGCATTTGACAGGTGGAAGGGCTGTTCAGGGCAGGAGCTGAACACAAGTGATTTGTATTAGGGACATGTCCCATTTTCTACGGTACTTTAGAGGATTCAGGGGGCTGTTTTCAACTCTCAGAAGTCAGAATCCTTGATCATGCCAAGCGCACTTCTGTCATGCCATGCGCAGAAACATGGACGCGTCGATCGATGTCCTGCACCATTGAAACTGCTTTTCCGCAGTGAATCCGAGTCGCCCAAGTCATTTCAAGACCATATTCCAAGAGAGAGCGACAGGGGTACAACAGTCACCAGCTGAATGAAATAAATCTTGGAAACATGTCTGCCCCCCTGTCGCACAACAAACCAAAAGAAGTACCAAGTGAAAGAGACTAAGCTCGAGGGTCTCGAGTTTCGTAGCATCACCAATGCCCACACGGTCCCAGTGCCCTCGCGTGACTCGCGTGACAAAAGAAGTCCCATGTCCAGTGGGCACTTGTCTAGTTTGTCTAGTTGAGTGGAACATCGTTGTCCCTCTTCGCCTCGCAACGCGAGGCCATTGAGTCGACTGGAACGGCACGTCTTTCGACGGAAGCTCTTTGCTCAAGAGCTGGTGTGGTGGCCCAGTCCGGACGGTTCCCGCGAATGAGCTGCCCGTAGAGCGCAGGCCATATCCTCAGGTTCGGTGGTTAGACCCCCCTGGCACCCACCCCCAACCATCAAACCGAAACGGAGGGGCGACCAGCCCTAGGGCCCTAGGGATTGTTCGTTGGAGGCGTCTCTCAGGGTGATCACTGGTCTCTCAGGGTGATGACTGGGAATGGTGGGTGAATGATGATTCGTAGTCTTGAGAAGATGGTTAGGGTCGGATTGGAGGGTCTAACCACCGAACCTGAGGAGATGGGCCAGGAGCCCTAGGGTACCTCGTGTCAGACTTTACGCTTCTTTTTCGCTCGTTCCCGGCAGAGTGGAGGGTTTGTGTGTGTGTGTGTGTGTTTCAAAAGGCTTGTCAATGTACTGGTCAACCTCTAAGAATTTGTGTTGGACCTTTTGCAAGATCCAAGACGCACAGAGAAAATATATATAAGATGGGACTGGTAGACTAAGCCCTACAGTAGAATCAGCTCACAGCAGTCGGTTTTGACAGCTTTGCCAGATCCATGTGACTCTGTACAGAGACCGTTTATATTGCACAACATGTATATATACAACAACTTGATATGTTTACGCACGTGTTGCTTCATCCAAACCAGGGTGACAGCGGAAAAAAAAAAACAATCAGATATTTGTTTTAGAGGGCCATACAAGTGGATTGCCGTCATATAACATCCAATATATCATTATCATTAAAAAACAACATAATAACAATAAATATATATATATACTATATATATATATATGCATATATCATCCTTCTCCCAATGCCTCACTAGCATCCTTCACAATCCTAAGAACAAGTGCTTTGGCAATGCACCTTGGCGATGCTGGTGCTGGGCGGGCGGCTTTGCTGAAGACGCAGCACTTGCTTGGGGCAGATCTCACCGTGCTGTCAGACAATACTTGTCTGACAGCGTGCCTCAACTCCTTGAAGGCCTTCATGACATGCACCAAGTCTGGGCTCCTTTCAAGGCGGATGACCAAGCCGATGCTGCTGACTTCCTGCACTCCTTATGGTCCTTTGCGGGCAGCACCTTCTTCGAAGGGAGATTCTTCCATCGGAGCACCAGGGGACACCTTGAAGAACGAGATCAATTCCCGCTCAATCTGATCTTTCCCGACGACCCGGCCTTCGCCACCCTGGATGACCTCATCAACAACTGGGCAGATGAGGGCAATGGACAGTACCTGTATGGGTCCCCAGGGGGGCTGGTCCTGAATCTGCAGCGGTCCACCCATCATCAAGGGCAATGGACTAAGCACCACCGAGAAGTTGAAATTCCCACGCGAATCAACATCCCCTTCTCTGAGGATGGCATCAATGTGCACTATGCCTCCTACCAGATTGTGGCAATGGTTTTGCACCAAGGAGAAGGTCACGAGAATGGTCATTACCAAAGCATCTTGGCCATAGACAATGCCTACTGGCTGGGGGACGATGAGACCTACCCCACTCCGATCTCCTTCATTTCGCCTCAACAAAGGAAGGAGATCTCTCAGGTCTGGCTAGTCCTCTCCAGCCCGGCTGAACTGGTTCCTGACACGGCCATCGAGATTGCTGAAACTTTGGCAAAGAAACCCAAGAAGGCGCAAGAGGTTTTGCAGTTGCTCTTCGGCAATGTCACCTTCTTTGGCAGGAAAGTACAGGATTGGATTTGGGCAAAGGCTGACACCATCTTGATGCTTCAAGAAACCCACCTGCAGACAGGTAGTCTCGACAACACCATGCAGTACTTCTCCACCAGAGGATGGAAATGCCATGGAGTGGCAGCTGAACCCACGGGCAATGGAGGCTCTACGGGCGGTTTCATCACTCTTCATCCTGCCCGACACCTCATCCATCACGTCCATGATTACACCAAGCAGGGCAATGGATGGACTGCACTATGTATGGAGCGTCAAGGCCAAAACATCTACCTCGTCCAGCTCTACCTCAGAACTGGTGAAACCCTGCAGTCATCGCTGAATGCAGACATCCTTGGTTAGTTGCTTCACTTCTTGGACCATCTCCAGGCTCCCTTCATTGTAGGCGGAGATTGGCAAACCTCCCCGGAGGAGCTGGCGGCAACCAACATCCCCAGCAAGATGAGAGCGCAGATTGTGGCCACACCGGGGCCCACCACACTTCAGGGCAGCCACCTCGATTTCTGCCTTGTTTCCACCTCCCTGGCCAGCTTCGTCACCTTGGAAGCGGATTGGGAAGTTCCTTGGAAGCCGCACTGTGCTCTCTCTCTGCAGCTGAACTGCACCACCGGTGCTGTGCCAGTTCAGCAACTTCAGCGATTCCCACCCATCGCAAGGGTCTACCAACTTCCGAACAACTGGACCTCCTGCAATGAAGATGATGGCCCTTTTGAGATCATTGGGCAGACCATCACTGGGTTGGGCTCAGACTTTGCAAGGTGGGCCACACAGACTGAGAAGTACTTGTGTCAGACTTTGCAGAAGCCAACCACGGGCCGAGGATCCAAAATCAAGCTGTACCAAGCTCCCTTGATCGACTCCTCCAAACCTCAGGTCTGGAAGAAAGGCAGTGCTGCCTACTGGGAAAGGATGGGAGTCAGGATCAATGTGGCTCAGCACAAGCGACATCCCAGCGTCCTACATGATCTGCGCCAGATGATGGAAAGGCTCTCCCAACATGCCTCGAAACACCTGGATCAGGCGCACTTTGTTGAGAGACTCACTCAGTGGACCTTTGGAGCGGCAATTGATCCTGCCGAGCTGCAAGACACAGTCCATCAGGAACAGGAGAGAGCTCAACAGCAACTTCTCAGCTCCACCAACCATGAGTTCAGAGAGTGGCTTGAAAAGGCTCATGACAAGGGCCTCCGAGGCCTCTTCAGAAGTCTTCGTCAAAAAGACCATAGTTGGAAACGTCCCTTCCAGGACATTCCACACACACAGAGGATTCCAGCAAGAGAACAGCAATGGGGAGAGATCTGGCGACCACTTCAGGCCCCATGTCACATCAGAGGCATTCAGGAGTTGCGACGGATAGCACAAGCGGCAGCTGCTCAACTACCTCCAGTTGACACAGCTCTCCTGGGCAAACTTATGAGGAAGCTCCCCAACAAGGCAGCAGGACCGGATGGGATCTCCTACGATTTCCTCCGGCATCTCCCTTATCCTGCTGTATCCAGGTTGGCTTCTTTGCTCACCGAGATGGAGCGCTCGGCTGAACTTCCAATTCAGCTTCGACACACCAACATTGTCATGATCCCAAAGAATGAGCGCATCGAGAGGCCCATCGCCCTCACATCATGCCTTTACAGGCTGTGGAACTCCTACAGGAAGCACGAGCTTCACCGCTGGCAGCTGTCTTTGGATCAGGATATGCCATGGGACTTTGCACGCCCTCACAAAGACTGCCTCTCCATTGCGGTCGGACGAATGTTGAAGGCTGAGATTGGCAAGCACCAAGGCATCCACACCGTGACCTGTTTGGCAGACCTCACCTGCTTCTATGACACGGTACAGCTCAAGCTCAATCCCAGCATCAAATACAGGCTGCACCGGGGGGCGATTCATCCAGTGATGACCTGGGGCGCTCAGGCCAATGGGCTGGCCCCTCAAAGAAGACAACAAATACGAGTTATGGCTGCCCGGGGCCTTCGCCTTCAGCGTTCTGGCTCTGTTGATGTCGTTTTTGACATGCATCCCAACAAACCTGACCCTGGTGACTCAATCATCCTCCAGCACATCCACACGGTCTGGAAGATTTTCCATGCCTTCGATGACAGCGCCCAGCACCTCTTTTGGATCAGCTGGAATTCAGCTTTGGACATCCTCCTCAAAGCCAAATACAGGTGGCAAGTAGTGACTGGTCCTCTCCAAGCCCTACAAGCCTACCTCCTTGACTATGACTTCGACATTTCCAATGGCAAATTGTGGAAGAGAACCGGCTATGGAGGCATTCCCGACTGTCACCTATGCCTGACGGATGGTTGGCCTGAGATTCATCAGAAGCTCCAAGAGGAATTTCGCTGGCAACGACTCCTGCGCCTGACGAGGCATGTGGGTTGCCACGATTTGGAACGTCCTTTGGATTGGACGGTCAGCAACACGCTCCAGAAGATCTCCACTGAGCGCTTCAACTCTGCCTTGAGAGCCTTCCACCAAGGCACTTTCCGTGGACAGACTGGCAAGTGTCCACTGTGCGGTGTTGAGCTCACCTTCATCCACCTTCTCTGGGAGTGCACCTTTTGGGATGGTAAAGTCCCTGCCCTTCCTGACCAGTGGCGGGAGCGACTTCAAGCTGGCACAGAACCTGAACTGTGGAACCGAGGCATGACTCAGTCCATCTTCTACATCAAAGATGGGGGAATGGCAACCTTCAATGGAGAAGGGCTCTGGGAAGCTTTGGAGGCGTGCCACCTCCCTCCTGGGCATGCTGTCTCTCTGGCCATTGCACCCACCTGCCGAGACCCAAGGCACAAGAGATTTGCCTTTGCGATTTGCATCCACCACATACAGACCAAAGAGAGAGTTGGTTCCTTGACAGGCATTTGTCCAGGTGAAGCTACTCGCCTTCGTGCCCTCTTCTATGGTTTGAAGCACATGTCTCTTCATCTGAGGGACAAGGTTCATGTGGCGGTTTTTAGCCAGGCCATCTGGGACGCTTGGAATCCATGGACGGCCTATGCCAAATTCCCTGATCTCACCCAAGGGCTGGAGCATGAGGACTTTGCTCAGATCAGGTTACTCCTTTTCCAGGTCAAGGAAATGCACTCCAGCCCCAACCGCCAAGCCTCCCAGCAAGACACACAGGCTAAGGCCACCCAGGCAGCTCTCCTTGCCAGGCCAGAGGAGACTCTCGATCTCCAACGCCACATCGATGAAGACACCAGAGACATCCTTCATGTGGCGGCAAGACGCATTGAGTTCCTCCTCAAAGACAAAGCCCACTTCATCCACAAGCGTGAGGAGATTCCTGACAGTCAGAAGCTTCCCCTT